TGATATATTTGTTGGAGCTAAATATGAATAAATAATTTTATAAAGAACCCAAAAAATATTTATTAATTAATTATAAATACACTTATAGGCAAGTATTGAATAATGTCTGTTATATGGATATATCTACTATTAGAAGAAAAAACAAATATGATATTGGAAAACTTATTAATTTGAATGCTACTTACCGAAATACTTATATCATATTAAACAAAATATATTTTAATATGATACCAAAAAACAAAATGTCTACAAATTACTATTAGGCATAAAATAAAAAGTGAATTGATGGTTTAAGTTATTAGTAAAAAAGTTAAATATMCTTAAGTTTATCTTAAATGCTTAAGAAATTAATAAAATATTATAATTTAAATGTATTTGATACCATAATTAAAGGATAAAATACGAATACTGAACAAATTAATGAAGAAAATACAGAAATAATATGATATGGAGTAAAGATACAATTTATTTTGGGGCTAGAATTAGACTAACAAGCATAAAAAATGTTTAAATGGTTTTTATTTTTTAACTATGGTGATTAACAAAATCTACAAGCATTGCCTGCATCAACTACTTATCTACACTCTGTTCAGCAAGAGAATCCACCSCAGCCCAATCAAGATCTGTTCTTTTATGCATCTCACTAGATATCATTCCATAAAAAAACTCATTTTGGTATCAGAATGACATATGGAGAGGGGAGAGGGGGTTGCACATTAATGAGCTGAGTTGTTACATTCTCTCACAAAACAGAGTGTAGTAGCAATAGGTTAACTTTAAATACCACATTTTCGATAAATTACTTTTTTAAAGGTTATCATTGAGGAACTATAAAAATATGTTACTTATTTTACCAATTTTGGATGAGTGTTTGCCATATATARAATTAGAATTTCCCACAAAGGCATTGATTTGCTTTTCAGAGCCCGAACACCAGCTTGAAAGGCTTCAATACCCATTTCCAGACTGTCGTAACTTAAATAATATGATATTAAATTAATCCAGAGTTCTACACTATCTTCTATCACCTGAACTGCTTTTCTCAGAATTCTATGACAGTCCATATTTGTGTTTTCAGCCTAAATAAAAATARATTAACAAATTGTTGTAAATATTAAATAAATTATTAAAATAAGTAATTTATGAAAATTTACCCAATAAATGTAATGTTCAGGTTTAAGTAACGCCTTGTTATTATGAGCTTTTTGAAAGGCTCGCTCCATAGTTTCATTCATGAAATTTCTTATTGTTTCTTTTTTCATGCGATAAGATTTTCGAATTTCTATAATATGATCAATATAAAAGTTCCATAACTTATGTTTATTTTTTGGTGGTAAGTTTTCTTTCAATCCATCTTCATAAGTTTTTATACAATTTCTATAAAACAATTAAGTTAGTATCATAAAAAAATATTTTCTTCTATAATTTTTAGATACAGACCTAATACCACTAATATAATTTTTATCATAGTGTAATTGCTCAGTCTCCTGATGATATATAAAACCATCAAAATGAATTTTAGCTAATTTTTGCCACATTAGTTCACTATGTTTATACTTCTTAACCATATCTCTACATAAAACAAAAATTAATTTAAAAAAATGTAAAATTGTTTTTAATAAAAATTATCAATACCTGACCACATTACATTGCAATTCTCTAACTGCACTTAATTTTATTGCTCTATCCAATAATATAAAATGAAATTCGATATCSCCTTCAAAACGTTTTATAAGGTTTTTATATTTTTCAATGGCAATAGGAAGTGAGGCACCAGCAGTCTTTTCTAAATGTTGTACTTCTACCCAAAATTCTTCAACGTATAGATTTTTACAATTTTTGTGATAYTTTAATCCTTCTGCGAAATATTTTCTAGCTGCTTCTACATCATTTCGATCATCAAATTCATAAATTGCAGCAGTTATGTATACTTCAGGATCACTATGATATCTCGACATAAGTGTATCCAACATGTTACTACATTTAGTAATAAATAATGTCTAAAATCAAGAATTTACTAAGATTAAACTAATATTTTATAAACAAGTCATATTTCAATCAATAAATTAATTTAAATTTAGTAATAAAATGGAAATATTATGCTGAATATGCATTATTTGTTAATGTTGAAAATGAATAAA